TAACAGTAGCAACATTACAGTTATGAAGTAGCAACGAAAATAATGTTATGGTTGGGTCACAACATGAGGAACTGTATTTAAAGGGCCAGAAGGTTGAGAACCACTGCCCTAGAGCCTGAGTTCACATCCTTTCAAAACTTCCAGGTTCCCCAGAATGTAAGTTTCTTTGGCTTCAGAAACAAAAAAAGCTATACATTATGTACAGCTGCGACTGCTCCTGCAGGAGGGATCAAGGACTGATTGAATGCTTTTTAAGTGAAATGAACTCATGCCAGTTCTCCGCCAGCCTCAGCGGCACGTGGAGACTCGCAGGGAAGAGTGATGTTCACACGGGTCTGTAGGAGTTAACAGAGAATGTGTTTCCCAAGTTGCTGCCTAGCTCCATATTAGAATGCCATCCACACAAAACCTCACCCAATCCTGCTTAGAGTGGGGCGGGGGGCATGGGGCACAGGACAGGGCCGGGTGACATCTGGCTGGACTGTTTTGTGTGACTTGGGACAAAACAGTGAGACAGTCAGACAGAACTCTGACTTGAGTGCCTGACTAATTGTATTTTCTGCCTGGATGGAGCTGTGGGCCCCCATTCACACTGGAATTTTGTAAACAAGGGGCCTCATCTTTTGTGGGTGACAAGCAGGTGTCACTCACACGGGGCCTGACACATCAGGCAGCCAACATAACTGGGGCAGATGCAGAATTTTAATGAGCGGCATGACAGGCTGAGATGGGGTTGCGCAACTCAGATGAAGGGTTCAGAACCAGGTGGTGTTAAGAAAGGACCTGTTGAAGTCACCCAGAAGGGACTGGGCCAAGGCAGATTCCAGCCTCAAGAACGGCTGCAGCTTGGCAAGCAACTCCAGTGCGTGAGCAGAATGGGGAGGCTATGAGATCAGGGGCTGGCATGGCACCACAGATAGCGCCTCTTCAGCTGCTTGAAGCACTGTGTTAAGAAGGATTCCGAGGCTGTAAGTGGGCCAGATTGGAAAGACTGTTATGATTGATTAATGATGCCCACGGTGAACATCTGGGGGGTGTAGTGAATATTTGCCACGGGTTTGCCTTTCCTAATGCACGTCTGGTCTTGCTCTATCAGAAGGCCTTTGCATCTCAGCCAGTTTGCACGTGGGAGAGTGGAGTCTGTGAACTAGACAGGCGCATCCTTCTGTGTTCAGGTGATTCTTTCCATCAGCCTCTTCCCTCAGTGATGCCTCCCTGGAGTCAGGAAAGATTCCTGAGAGCTGGGCTTTCAGCTTGAGTCTTGATCCCCCATTCACCTAGTGAACGACCTGCTGCCTGTGCCTAAGTAACCATAACACCTTCTCTAGCTCCAGAGCTCAGCTGCAGAGACCTGGACTATAAGTCTGGAAAGCCCTGTGCCTTCGATTTACCCTAGGCTAGAGAGCACAGTCGCACATGGATCACCATGTAGAAATGTCACCGCTCCAAGACCCACTTGGACAAATGTCCCTCCCTCTGTGTAAGGTTTTCTAGGACCCTGCATGGGTGCCACAGCAATGAACATGCAGGCTGGGGATGTGTGTTGCATGTGAAAGCGTGTGGCTATGGCGCACATTGCATGAAGATTTCCATGTGGCTGAAATGTAATGCAAGCATGATGGGAACAGTCTGTGGCTGGGGAATATTATCTCCTTGGCTGAGAGGCTCCTGAGGTTTCTCAGCCTCTAAAAGCATTTACAAGCAGAAAGCAGAACGCTTCCTCCCCTTATCCTGCCTGTCATCCATGTCCGTCCAGATGGGGAGGCTTCCAGCTGGGGCCAGGGCCCTCGCTTCCCTTTTCTGCCATCACCTTGACGCTTAGCCCATGACATTCAAACACATTTAACTTTCTTGGCCACCACAGGCAAACAAAGTGATAAGAAAACTGAATTTCTCCTTGAGGAACTGTCTACTTGACACCTCTATCTACAGCATTATAGTCCAGAGACCCTAACCCAGCCGTAACCACCAGCGACCAGTGACACTGCACAGGCAGTGTTTGCCTTCAGTCTGTCTCTGCCCTTCCACCCTGTCTTCATCATTCATTGTGTGGCTCATCCAAAGTGCCTGGTGGCTTTGGGTTGCTGGTTGGGAGAGCAGCTCCTACATTTTCACTCTTAGGAGCTAATGGCAGAAAGCATAACATCTCCCAGGACTTTGGATCTCAAAAAGGAACTTGAAGAGGAAATACATTACTAATGGTTGAGTGTTCCAGTTCAATGGCACTTGAGTGTGGGAAGGTTTCTTTGTCTTCTCCAATTACACATGTGGAGACTTCAGTCATCCCCTGTGGGTGTGGATAGTCACACCCCAATGTGCTCTGAGCACCGTCCCCATGTCAGGACCTAATTATTATTATTTCACTCAAGAACCTTAATCTCTGTGAGGTAGTTGTTACCATACTTATTTGACAGGTGAAATAAGTGCACTTTTATGGAAGTAAATGACTTAACCCAAGTCACACAGTATTGGGCAGCAGAATGAGGTTTCACGCCCAGATTGCTAATGCAGACACCAGCGATGATTCTGTCACAGTGCAGTGGTGTCAATGGAAACTCAGCTTGGGCCCCTTCTCTGCAGGTCTGCTCTCTATCTCCCACCCAGATCTCTGCCTCACTCCAGGCAGCTTGACTCATTTCTGATCCCTTGTTCCTGGAACATACCAAACCCTTGGGAAGTGTTTGCTGAATAAAAGGGTATTAGAGTTCAGTTAGCACATGTGTATTGGTTTTCTGTGCCTGCTGTAACAAATTGCCACAAATCTTGTGGCTTAAAACAGCAGAAATGCACTCAATCATAGTTCTGGAGGCCAGCAATTCAAAATCAGTTTTACTGGGCCCAAATCAAGGTTTTGGCAGCACTGTGTTTCCTCCAGAGGCTCTCAGGGAGAACCTGTTCCTTGCTTCTTCCAGCTTCTGGTCACTACTGGTGTTCCTTGGCTTCTGGCCACATCACTCCAATGTCTGCTTCTGTAGACATCTGGTCTCTGTGTGTGTGTTTCAAATCTCCCACGGCTTCCCTCCTATAAGAATACTTGTGATAACATTGGGGACCCCTCCAGATAATCCTGGATCATCTCCTTATGGCAAGATCCCTAATTACATCTGCAAAGACTGCTATGTAAGGTGCCACTCACCAGTGAACGTCTTGGAGAGTCTTTCTTTAGCATGCCATGCACATTGCTCCAGCCTCTAGAAGCCTCTGGAACAGGGGTGGGCAAACTTTTTGACTCGAGGGCCACAATGGGTTCTTAAACTGGACCGGAGGGCCGGAACAAAAGCATGGATGGAGTGTTTGTGTGAACTAATATAAATTCAAAGTAAACATCATTACATAAAAGGGTACGGTCTTTTTTTTTTTTTAGTTTTATTCATTTCAAACGGGCCAGATCCGGCCCACGGGCCGTAGTTTGCCCACGGCTGCTCTGAAAGATGCTGGACCGAGGATCTCACCCCTTTCAGAGGGATGTACATGCCCACAGGTCAGCTGCCCTAACCTTGAAGTAGAAGCAGCTTTTCTGCCTCCATTAGAACAAGCTTTATTTAGAGGCTTTTTGCCACTTCCCAGTGGGATGACATGGAGCAAGGATCCCAGGCCTCAACTCCCTCATAAAACGGGAATAATAAAAGTACCTACCACTTAGCCTTTTCATGAGGTCTACATGGCAGGGACCATATACCTGGAACACGCTTCCTAACTCATTCCTAATGACTCAGGAGGGTCCTTGACAGATCAATGGCCCAGGAGTGAATAAAAATGCAAAGTCAAGAAAACTGTCTTCGCCCTGACTGGTTTAGCTCGGTGGGTAGAGCGTTGGCCTGCGGACTGAAGGGTCCCAGGTTCGAATCCGGTCAAAGGCATGTCCCTTGGTTGCAGGCAAATCCCCAGTAGGGGGTGTGCAGGAGGCAGCTGATTGATGTTTCTGACTTTCTATCCCTCTCCCTTCCTCTCTGCAAAAAAATCAATAAAATATATTTTTTAAAAAAGAAAACTGTCTTCTATGGTCACATTTATCTTTTGATAACTTTGGATTTACTCCGACAAAGCCACTTGGTTATACAAGCTGCTTTTCTCTTCTCTGGGAGCCAGGCAGGTGGCAAAATCGGGAAGGAGGTCTGCTTTCAATTCTCTAAAGCAGTGGTTCTCAACCTTCCTAATGCTGTGACCCTTTAATACAGTTCCTCATGTTGTGGTGACACCCAACCATAAAATTATTTTCACTGCTACTTCATAACTGTAATTTTGCTACTGTTATGAATTGTAATATAAATATCTGATATGCAGGATGCATTTTCATTGTTACAAATTGAACATAATTAAAGCATAGTGATTAATCACAAAAGCAATATGTAATTATATATGTGTTTTCCGATGGTCTTAGGCGACCCCTGTGAAAGGGTCGTTCGACCCCCAAAGGGGTCGCGACCCACAGGTTGAGAACCGCTGCTCTAAAGTCACCTGTGAAGTACTGAACACTGGCATGCTCAAGAAAAGTGGCCAGAGTACACTTGAATTCTCTTGTGCACCCGAGTTGTGCAGCACCAGTTGTTTCCCCTCTTTGGGCCACAGTCAGAATTCCCTTCCTTAGGAAAAGAGAATCTGATGGATCAGACTTAGTTAAAACTTAATAAATAGAATGTCATGAAAGCCTTCACTGTTGACATTTAAAATTCTTCCTTAGCTACAACCAGCCCTTCCCTTGCTCTGTGCCATCAGAATGGCGAGGGAGGGTACCTTCAGATGTCAATGATGAAACACAGCAGAGAAAGTCTCCTGTGCAGACCTGCCCCTGGCCTTTGTCATGGACTCATATCAGGCCTCACTTTCAACCTCACCATGTTGGCCACATGGAACAGCCTCTGATCCCCCCACACTGAGGTCTTAGGGACTTGTGTCATCATTGACCACCACTTGACACTGCAATGATCTGTGTGTTTGTGGGCATGCCATTCCCGGTGCTTTGCCATGGGGCCATGCAGCACCTCCCACCAGAGCAGGTGGAGTACCTTTCTAGTTCCTGGGAAGTTGGGTTTGGCCAATGGGGACCCAAGCCCAGCTTGAGGCCTGCAGGTGAGCTGAGCTAAACCCAACCAAATCCAAACCACAAGGATCAAACCCCAGCCAACCTCCAGGTCTGTAAATAAGAAAAATAAATGTGTGCTGTTCTATTCACTGAGATTTTGGGTTCTTGGTTATGCAGCAAAATATGACTAACACCAAGTCTTTCTCTCATTAGCCTATGGTTACCTTAAAGACAGGCACTGTACAAATTCACCACGTGCCAGGACAAGAGCAGATGCTTAAATAGTCTGTAACTGCAGCAAGGAATGGCTTTTATTTTTATTCAGACTCTCCTTTCCTTTAATGAACGTTATGGGCCTGTGACCGGTGGTCCCCACAGAGCTAGTAAAATGAGAGCTGGATCCAAATTGATGATGGCACGGTGTCAGGTGTAGCTCCTTATATAACCTCATATTCCTCCAGCCACACAGGGCCAGAACTCCCATCTAATCCCAAACCAGACCTGTGATGCCCATGTCCTTTTCCAGGTTTATGTGTGAAGTGCACTCACAGGTTGGTCATCACCTGGTGGCTGGAGCTGTAAGGTATGCTGAGATTCATGTGAGCTTCAGGAAGAGGGGACCAAGGACAGGAAGAGCCATATTAGAGCAAAGGAGCCACATCAGAGCAAAGGGGATGGGCTGCTGTTGGCAGGCATTCCAAATTGGGTTAAATAGGGGTGACCATAATGGGAGGCATGAGAGTCAGCAGGAGCTTTTTGCAGGGACAGTGTTTCCAGACAGGTGGATGAGATCACCTGTCAAGAAGGTACAGGAAGGTGCAGGTAGGTGGGTTGCAGTTGTCTACATTGGAGCAGGTCCCCAGGTGCACACAAGGCAGGATTGGATGAATAAAGAGAGATACTTCTGTTTTTGGAAATGGGAATTTGAAAGCTGATGAGGAGTAATGAAGCAGGCAGAGTCCCAGCTCAAAGGCCAGCAGCCCAGCTGGAAGTGAGAGTTGCCAATAGAAGCAGAGGTAGTGGTCTGGGTAAATCCTGAGGAGCTACTATCTCTCTTTCCCTCTCCCTTCTGTTCTGAAATCAATAATATATATATACACATATATATATATTTTAAAAAAAATCCTGAGGGGCTAAGAGGAGGACATAGCTCAGGGAACACTGCCCAGCCATAACAATTCCACAAGCTCAAGCCTGTTGTTTCTCACTGGCCACAGAGGGCATAGGATAGCACATCTGAAAATCAGGGCTGGGCATGTTAGGCATAGGATAGCACATCTGAAAATCAGGGCTGGGCATGTTAGGCCTAGGGTAGGAGGGCCCATCTAGGCCCACACTGCCTCGGGGAATCCAGTGTCTATAGAGCTCCCAGAGCTGATGCCTGTAAATGGGCTCCCGCCTGTGCTGGCCATTCCATCCCAACCAGGTCTTTCCCCAGCCTCTGCTCTCATCTCCTTCAGAGCTTTATACTTAGTAACTCTACACTTACCCATCATCTCACCCCCAGGCACAAATTTAGTGATGCTGAGGCCAACTATAAAATAGATCACTATTGTAGGGCCTGACACATGGCCTGAATCAGGGTGAACTCTTAAATATATTGATACAGTGAATAAAATGAATTAAGAAGAAAGAAAAACTCAAGGCAAATCTATAAAAAACCAGGATCCCATCTCGGTTTCTTGAGTTAGTGATATTTGGTAAACAACTTCTTTGTTCATGCCCTCCCCCAGCTGCACCCAGAAAGCACAATGATGGACTGACAATGCGTCATTCTGACCCAGGACCCAGGCCACACTCCACTGCTACTTCTGGCAGAACTTATAATTGTTCTAATCCAGCAGAGCTTTGGTTTTCACAATTTAAATATTCTATTTTATTGATTTTAGAGAGCGAGGAAGGGAGAGGGATAGAGAAATGAAAGAGAAACATTGATTGGCTGCCTCCTGCATGCCCCCTATTGGGGGTAGTGCCTCCAACCTGGGCAAATGCCCAGACTGGGAATTGAACCGGTGACCTCTTGGTTCATGGGTCAATGCTCAACCACTGATCTCACACCAGCTGGGCAGTTTTCACAATTTAAAAGTGGGAATAATAACAATGACTTCATGGAGCAGCAGATAAAATGATGGATGGAAACTGCAGTACCTGTCACACAGCAGTAGATAAACAAATGCTATAAGTCAACTTTAAGCAGAGTTCAACGGCAGGGGGAATTTGTAGGCGGGGTCCTGGAGCATCTCACGGAGTCCAGGGAGCCATTGGGAAGCCCTGCTCGAGAGGGGCAGCACTGGGGCCAGAGCCGAGGGGCCCCGAGTCTTTTCCAGAATGTTGCTTGTAGCTCCTGCTTAGTCCATCATGGCCAAGGAAGCAGGGTCTTGCAGAATGAACATGGAGGCCAAGAGCCCACAGCCCAGAGAAGGAGATGGTCATGGTCAAGGGACAGGAGCAGGACCTGGAGAGATGGATGGCCCAAAGTTTCAGTTATACTCTTCCATGTCACTTCTTCCCCGAGGTGGGTCCCTGACTCTCCAGTTGGTGATTCGTTTCCTTCCCTGGCACTACCTTATCCTTCACTTTGGGCACTGGTAATTTTGGTATCATGTATATAGCTGGTGTGACCCCCATTCCTTCAGTCCACAGGCCTTGTCAGATTATTCCCTCACATCTATATAACAAGCCAGTAACCAGCACACTATAAGCATACATCTGTGCGTACTGGATTTAATTAGTTGTATGCAAACAGGAAGAGGAGAATGAATGCTTCAGTATGTACAAAAGAAAGCCCGGCCCCTTGGTGAGTTACTGCCCTGGCCGCTGCAACCCTCAGAATTGAAGAAGACCAATGTGTTCATTCATCCAGGGTGGTCTCGCATATGGCAGACACCATGGTAGGCCAGAATCCGGTTTCCTTGATTCACAAACTACGGTATAGGCACAAAAGGGCCATTTTTCAGGAGACAGACCCATTTCCAACCCATGTGACCTGGCGACCTGGCTGTTGAATATAACTTTTATTTTCATTTCCCCCAGTAATTTAATAAGTATTTCTTACTTCAGTATAGTGCCAGTAATAGAAGAACTAGCGTTGGTCCAGCTCATAAAAGACAGTTCATTCCCTGTGTTTTACTCTGGCCTTTAGATCAATCATACTGTCTCATTTCAAATTGTATAATTTTCCAAGAGTTTAGCCAGATATTCAAAAAATAGCTGGTTTGATAATTGAATGCCAGAAACTGAGAAGTCCTAGAAATTTTGGATGGCAGATTTTCCTGAGGGGCTATCATTTGATAATAAATGAATGTTTCATTGGACCTGTTGCAAATGTTTTTCTTTGAAAGTTAATGCGTGGGTCTAGGCTCCTGCTGGCTTCCCTCCATTTCAGAGTCCAGGGGTCATGCTGAATTCAGCTTTTCCACCCCAGGAAGAACTCTCTAAATTTTAAAACCGAGGCACAATTTCTTTTTCTTAATAATAAACAAAAAACACAGCATAGTTATACACAACTTTGTTACAAGTGAGAATGAATAGAAATGAACCAAATGCTGACAAACTGATAGTACAGGGATTGACAAAAGTAGTTTTACAGTTGTGAATATATGAAACACAGTTTATTCTTTAAAAAAAATGATTTTTAGAGAGAGAGGAAGGGGGAATAGAGATATAGAAACATTGATGAGAGAGAAACATTGATCGGCTGCCTCCTGTGCAACCCCTACTGGAGATCAAGCCAGCAACCTGGACATGAGTTTTGACTGGGAATCCAACCAATGACCTCTTGGTTCACGGATGGATGTTCAACCACTGACCCATACTGGCTGGGCCACAGTTTATTCTTGTATTATTATTTATTGTACTAGAGGCCCGGTGCATGAAATTCGTGCACGGGGGGGTGGGGGTGCCGTCAGTCCAGCCTGCACTCTCTCCAATCCAGGACCCCTCGAGGGATGTCTGACCACCAGTTTAGGTCCGATCCCTGCTCTCACAATCCAGGAACACTGGCTCCTAACTGCTCACCTGCCTGCCTGCCTGCCTGATTGCCCCTAACTGCCCCCCCTGCCAACCTGGTCACCCCTCACTGCCCCCCTTGCCAGCCTTGTTGCCCCACACAGCCTGCTGCTCAGTCATTTGGTAGGCCCTCATTAACCCCCTGCTGGCCTGGTCACCCCACACAGCCTGCTGCTCAGTCATTTGGTCAGCCCTCACTAACCCACTGCTGGCCTGGTCACTCCACACAGCCTGCTGCCTGCTCAGTCATTTTGTTGGCCCTCACTAACCCCCCTGACAGCCTGGTCACCCCACGCAGCCTGTTTGGTCATTCGTTTGGTTGTTTCGGTTGTGGTGGTCACTTAGGCTTTTATATATATAGATTATTTTCCATATGAACAACTGTAAACCTACTTTTGCCCATCCCTGTGTGTGGGTAGCGGTCGTACGCCAATTACCATGTTTCTCTTTTATTAGTGTAGATTATTTTCCATATGAACAACTGTAAACCTACTTTTGCCCATCCCTGTGTGTTCTGTGTTAAAGTTATTCTGTCCCTATTAAAGCAACTGAGCTCTCACAGAACATGAAGTGTGCAAGCCTGCTTATTTCCATCATGTAAGTTGTGGACAGTGATTTTTTTGTATGTGGTTTGTAAGCCCATGGCCTTTGGACTAGACCAGTGATGGCAAACCTATGACTCGCGTGTCAGAGGTGACACGCGAACTCATTTTTTTGGTTGATTTTTCTTTGTTAAATGGCATTTAAATATATAAAATAAATATCAAAAATATAACTCTTTGTTTTACTATGGTTGCAAATATCAAAAAATTTCTATATGTGACACGGCACCAGAGTTAAGTTAGGGTTTTTCAAAATGCTGACACGGCGAGCTCAAAAGGTTCGCCATCACTGGACTAGACACTCGAGTAGAGAACATGTCCAAGAATCATACAACCTTTTCCCACCATGTCCCAGTGAAGAAGTGCATAGTACAATCACACGTGCAGTGTAAGTTTCTGCTTTGCATGTGGGATAGATAGAAGGCTTGGGGTTGAGCACCAAGCACCCAAAATATTATACCATCAGCAATGGTGTAAATCAAAATTGCCCACCACCTGACAGAGTACAGTAAGAATCAGCATCACTTTTGGGATAATCCTACCAATGATGCATAGTCTGAATCCATTCTTAAGGAAACATCAAACAAACCCAAACTTGGGTACAACCTGCAATATAACTGGCCTGTTTTCTTCAAAAGTGTTGAGGTCATGCAAATCAAGGAGGACCAAGGAGATGTCGCAGATTGCAGATGGCTAACAGTCCATGGCAACTAAACACCACCCGTGATTCAGAGCTGAATCCTTTTTGTTACAAAGCACATGATTAGGGCAACTGGAGGCATTTGCATGGAGTCTAAGGACAAAGGGGTGTAACCTATCAATGTGGATTTCCTGATTTTGATGGTTGTATTGCGGTTATGAGGGTGGTGGGGATGATAAGGCATGAGGTCTACAAATTACTCTCAAATGGTTCAGGGGGGAAAAGGTGTTAATTGTGTGCTTGCAACTTCTCTGGATAGTTAAGATCATTTTCCAATTTATAAAAAAGGGTTGAGGCCTTATCAAACCATCATTCCTCCCTGTATCCCCTCCAGCCCCGTTCTTCTGTCTCTTTAGTTAAACTAAACAATTAGCCTTTATCTGTTGCTACTAATTAATAGTAAAATGCCCTTCCCTAACAACCCAGAGATATTTTTCAATTGCAGAGTTGACACTTTGGAGTACAGAAGCAACTTCAGCCGTGCAACGATGCACAGACGATATCACCCATGCTGGGGTCACTGTGTCCCAACCTCTGCTTTACAGGTGAGGAAACAGGAGCAACACAGAGCAACAGTCAGCAACCTGAACCCAGCCTCTGGGCCAGCACATTTGCCAACATGCTTTCCCTGTATTTTTCCTGCACAACAGACACTTGGCATTAATCTCTGGCCTGGCTTTCTTCTCCAAAGCTTTGGGGGCTACATTCTTGAGCTAGGTACTAAGCGGGTGGCCAGACAACATTCTCCAGGCTTTACATAAACCAGAAAGTCACTAATGGAAATGAGAGGTGGGAGAGAGAGAGCAAAAGAGCAACGAGGAATGGCATATATTTTATTTACTTGTAATGGGAGTTTGTGCTGTGAGAGGCCCAGAGAGAGCGCTTTCCGGGAAGGGTGATTCCATGGTTCCTTTGGATTTAGGTTTCACATCAGTGCAGATCCAGTAAATAACAAGCACCCTGCACCCAGCCAGGTGGACCTCATCAGTGAACCACGGAGACTTTGTACCCAGTCCTGTACCCATAGATGCTAGGAAGTGTGCACAGGGGAGGAAAGCCTGGAAAAACTGTTGTAATGAATTCTCCAAAATATGATGAGACCATGTCAATGTGCATGTAAAACAAAAGGCATGTGTTTATCTGTTCTGCCCTGACATAAAGAATACATTTTAAAATGAATGTAGAAGTAAAAACAGGGCATACAAAAAATCCCTTCTCAAACACAATGTTTTCCCAAGTGGGTGCACCGCCTCAAGGCAAACCTCAAGCCAGCCCTTTGCTTGAAAACAAGAAGCTCCCAGTGGTCTGAGACCAAGGACAGTGGGGCAGAGGGAGAAAGCTTGCTGCTGTGTCATCTTGGTGAGAAGCAAGCACTTTCAGGGCCAAGCCAGGAAAGACTGTGGTTGGAGAGGACCCTTCATGCTGCTGGTGTTGGTTGGTGGAAAAGAAGAGGAGAAAGCACCACACAGAAACCCATCAGCTACCTACGGGCCTTCAGAGTGAGCCTGGGAATCTTTGCCTGCCTAAAGCAGAGCTGTGGCGAAGGAGCAAGCTCGGAGCAAGAAACTAAAATCAAGTCTCCCCCTCCACACTAGTGGCTGGAGGTTGCCAGGCAGTGGGTACAGCCAGCAGGTGGGAACGCAAGTCCTCAGTCCCAAAGGAGAGGGTCTGGGAGGCACAGCCCAGCCTCCACCATGATGGACAACCTGACAGAAGCAAGTCCACTTGACAACAATGAAGCGAAGGCTTTTAATTTTGTATGCAGAGACAATCTTCATAGATTTATCTGAAGGAGGAAGTTGCTGTTCCAAACAGTGTCTGCACACAAAGAAACCAAAAAGCTGGAGGGCTGACACAAACTGCTGGGGTGCAGATGGGTCACCTGGAAACTCCTTATTTGTGTCTGGATGAGAAGCTCACTGGGCACAGGGGAACATTTTCACCCTGGAGCCCATTCGCCTGGTTTCATTGTTTCCCTGTCCCTCGTCCCAAGCACCCTTTGATTTATCGTTTCTAAGAACGGTACGCCCGTTCTATTGTAGAGTAACCCCCGTGACACAATATTACCATAGTGCAATGTCGTTTTGTGCTATTTTGAACAATTAAAAGACTTTTTTTGAAATAAAAAAAAATATGTTCCCCCATCACCTATAACTCTTATAGGTGATGGTCCGGTAGGGTGCACTGTGACCATCTGAACCACTAAAGAGAACAAGGGAGGAAATAGTTCTGGGGGTTGAAATTAGACTCCTTGGTCCTCTGCTCATAAACAAGGTCTCCACTGGGTTGGGAATTATGCCCTTGTCTCTAGAGACCATTGAATCTCACCGAGAATTGTGGATATACAATCCTGACCCCAAAATGCTTCCAGCTACAAAATGATATGCAATGCCTTGCAAACTCTAGTCTTTAAAGAAGAGTAATAGAACTGCTTCTTATTTGAAAGACACTAGAAGCCAGGCAATCAATTAGGATGAAAACTGGCTTTTGGTAAATAGGGTATGTAAAGAAAGAATAAAATAAAAAGGCAAGGCAATTTATGAGGTCTCTGTCCAGCAGCTGTAGTCACGAAAATAACTCAAGGAATATGAACCAGTCATTAGAGGAAAACACTGCATCAGGTTTAGTTAGCAAGAATGAAAAGTTGGCCAAAACACAGAGGAAGGAAAATTCAAATGGACCCTCATTAGTACTTGGCTCAGGTTTGTAACCTTTAAAGCTCTTTTGAGACTTGAAGAAAAAACTTAAAACACAAAGAGGAAGGGAAAAGTGCATGATGCAACTGAGGTCATGATTACAGAGATAATTTTACAATGATTTAAGTGCACCCTCCATACAAATGAGGCCATACAAAGGAGGCCTGAGTAATATTTTTAAAAATATATATTTGGTGCATCTGAAGGGTGGTGGGTTTGATTCCCAGTCAAGGGTGCATGTTCCTGTACCTGGGTTGTGAGTTCGCTCCCTGCCCTTGGTTGAGATATGTGCAGGAGTCAACCAATCAATATGTCTCTCTCACATTGATGTTTCTCTACAGTCTTTCTCCCTCCCTCCCTTCCACTCTCTGAAAAGCAAAGGAAAAAAATATCCTCAGGTGAGGATATTACTATATCCATAAACCAGAGACTCAAATGATACAGATAAGACAGCATAAAAAAAATGCTAAAATGTGTGAAGGGATAAGGGGAGGTGTATTAGTTAAGATATAGGTCTGGTAGCTTTCAAAGAGAGCAAATTAAATCAGCTTAAATAAAAGAAAAGTTTATTTCTGTCTCACATGTAAGCCCACATGGGTAAGTGGTCTAGCAAATAAAATTACATAGGTCCTCAAATGGTCCAAGAACCAGACACTGTGTGGCCTTGTTCCACCATGCCCTGAGCCACCACTGCCATATCTGACTTCTAGGCCATGGAAAGGGAGGGAGGAAGTGGGCCACGTGGAGCTTCCTTTTACATGCACAACCAGAAAGTTGCACTTATTACTTCTGCTCACAGCCCATTGAAGGCAATTTAGCCACAAGGCCACATATCTATACCAAAGTCTAGAAAATGAAGTCTTGAGCTGAGAAACCATATCCAAGGACTGGGATAGAAGGGCAAATGGATAGTGGAAGATGAATTAACAGTCTGGGAGCCCAGGTTCCTTCCCATGTTTTGCTCCTCTAGCCCCTAAGATAGTGCCTTGATCATATGCTCAAAGCCAGCCTGGCACTGGGATGGAGGAGGAGAACATGTCAGCAGCTCCTTTGAAGCATGAGACTTGGAAGTAGTCCATGCTATTTCTAGTCAAGTCCATTTTCCAAAACATAATCTCATGGTCACATGTAGCTGCAAATGAGGCTAGGAAATGCCTTGGAGGTGTGGGTGTGTAGGGGGGGGAGCGGGGGAGAGAAATAATGTTCGGAGACAAGTTGCAGTCTTAAACATCCTATATAATAAAAGGGTAATATGCAAATTGACCCTAACAGCAGAACGACTGGGAATGACTGGTCACTATGACACACACTGACCACCAGGGGGCAGATACTCAATGCAGGAGCTGTCCCCTGGTGGTCAGTGCGCTCCCACAGGGGGAGCTCTGCTCAGCCACAAGCCAGGCTGATGGCTGCCAGCACAGTGGTGGTGGTGGGAACATCTCCTGCCTCCTCAGCAGCACTAAGGATGTCCGACTGCAGCTTAGGTCTGCTCCCTGCTGGCAAGTGGACATCCCCTGAGGGCTGCTGGGCTGCCAGAGGGATGTCTGACTGCCAGCTTGGGCCCGGTCCCCCAGGGAGTGGGCCTAAGCCAGCAGGTGGACATCCTCAAGAGCATAGGCCAGGCTGAGGGACACCCCCCCCCCAGTGCACAAATTTTTGTGCACCAGGCCTCTAGTAAGTAGTATAAATGTAGTTGCTGAGGGCAAGTTCAATCTATGTAAATTACTCTTAGGTCTGAACAGATCAACAGGGTTTCTAATTACAAAGGACCTTTATTGATCAAAGGAGCCCATCTGGCTTTCCAACTTGAAAACACTTTGCTCTTAAAAAATAACGATGATTTCTTTTAGAAATAATTGGTCATTCAAATGGCATTTTGAGTAGTTTTGTTTGAAATAGAGAGGTTTCACTGTAAAAGGGCAATGCTGTTCCAGAACAGTTCCCCAAATTGTGTTCGTGCATGTCCTGTGAAGTGGTTTTGGAAAACAGATGCATGACACCCTCGCCTTGAGTGTGTTGCACATGAAGGTCTGACAAGTCCTGCAGGACCCATCTGCTTCACTCCTCAGCCCAGTGTCAGCCAAACTCGTGTGGTCACTGAGCCCCTCCTTACACTCACCATTTTACCCTCCTGTGCAACCAGCACTTTATATGGTACATTCTGAGAAACATTTTCTAACATGGCGGACATAAGCGATAATAAGCAATAGCATAATAAATAAGCACTATGCACAGTGTGTAAGTCATAACCTATCACAAAGAGAAATGAATAGTCAGGGATGATAACGGGCTATCTAACCATGAAACCCTGAGCATGTCACCCAGACTTCTGGGGTCTCAGCTTTCTCACTGTGGTAAGAGAATTTGCCAGAACACATTGATTACTCAGGATAAGAGATCATATACCCCTTCTTTGCCTATCACTGTGCACTGAGTAGACCAAAAGAATCATGCTTTTAGCAAAAGGAGTTTCTTGGAGGCAAGGACTAAATCCTCCCCTGTAACCAGGGTCTTCCCTGCGACAGGCCGCCAGCTTCATGAATGTGTTCTGAGTGTGTGAGCGAGGGAACGAATGAATGGAGTGGATCCTAGAAGAACAGGTGACCTAGCCACTCGTAGGAGATGATTTGACCCCATACAGAGGACTGAGGTAAGAAAGGCCAGGTGACTGGGTCACTGAGCCTGGAAGTGACAGGAAAGGGAAAAACTCCGGAACCTGCCCTGTGCCCTGGCCTCCTCTTCACTCCACAGCTGCTCACAGAGTCTCAGAGTCTGGCCACGGCCTGGGTGTGGAGCAGGTCCAGGAAACAGAGTCTATATGTCAGGATATCTTCCAAAAGCCCAACTTTCTCTCCATGGCTATTTAAACCAGAATTCAGCTCGGATAGGCAATCTTTATTTTGTCATGGGAAAACACTCATTAGAATGTTAAGAGGAAAAAGCAAGATTCCAGTTTGTGGCTGGTGCCTATCATTTCAAGCCTGTAGAAACAAAACGGAACAGAACATTTGTGTAGATATAGTCATGAGAAAAGCTGGAAGGAAGTGTACTGATAAACTAATAATTCTTATCACTGGGAGTAGGGTTATGAGTGACATCATTATTATTGCTGTGGTTATCATTATTACTATTGCTGCGTTCTTTCAACAAGTAGCGTGGCCTTAGCAATCCATGCTTACTGACAACGTCAGATGTCACATTCACACTTACATCGCACCTCAAATTCACTGGGTCAGGAGCCCCAGTAGAAGGGTCTGCCTGGCTGCCACTGGCTGTACAGGCTGCCTCAGGCCAGGCGGCTCTCTGCTGCCAAGCCAGAAGGAAGGAGCTGACAGCTAAGAGGCCCTGCTGTTCACACTCCCGTCATCTGTCCTGGAGGGAGGTCTGGAGGTGCATCTCTGTATCAGTCACCGTGTCTGAGCTGAGGACCGTCACCTCCACCCACATGCGGCCCGCCAGCCACTAGTTTGACATGCTTGCTAAAGTCTCTGGCCCCCCTCCCAGGGTAACAGAAAAGATGCAAGTCTGGAGGCTGCCATGCAGGCACATTCTGTTGAAAGTCGTGCCTTGCCTGAGAGCTTGCCTTGCCCCCCAGAGAAACATTGCTGTGCTTCGGTTTCCAGGCTGCAGCGAGCCCACACTCTGATGAGCAGTGATTTTAATGGTGTCTTTTCTCATGCTGGAAGGAGAGAATATTTGCCTGAGGCCATCTGCACGTTCCTGCACTTAAAAATGCCTTGGTCTTTTGGCTTCACATCAGGCAGGGAATCGCAGGAACATCCATTCTCCCCCAAGAGTTTCTTACCTAAAGGAACAAGGCAGTCAGAGGAACAGATGCTATCACTTTGTGCTTCAGGGAGGATTTGGAACACCCTGGAGGTAACAAGGGCGGCTGTGTGCATGGGCGTGTGGGCATGTGCTGCTTGCGCTCACACACGTGTGGGCGTCTCAGAGCCTCTCAGAGGATCGTCAGGGTTTGGCTACATCTACTCCATGAGGCTCCAAATGCAGTTAAGAATGAACAAAAGCCAAAGTAAGGCTATAAAATGTGGACCATATGTTAAATGTTTCTTCTGAACAACACTTTAAATACATGTCAGCTTTTTACAGTCACTTTGAATAACCTCATCTGGAGATCATGTGAGAAGTGCCACCAGGGCCCTGAGCCTGCAGAGCCTCCCTCCGGCCCTCTGGACCCCAGGAGAGGCCTGAGAGCCTGTGAAGGAAGAGGCTGGGTGAGCTTCCAGCTGCTGGGACCAGGGTTGCAGGGGGCGGTGGCCGTTGGTCAGGAAGAGGTCTCAGACAGTCTCAGTTCAGGCACGTTTGTGGGTGTTTCCCCCTTAGACCGACCCACCTCTGGTAGAGGGAAGGGAGAAGATGAGATCGCATGATGTGGACAATGTGGTTTGACCTCACTGATCCCTCAAAGC